AGGGGGACAGCTTGAGGCTCTGTCTCAAAAAAAAAAAAAAAAAAAAGAAAACAAAACAGAACTGCTCTGTATTTCAAAATGTATATTAGTATTTCCCTCTGACAGCCTTATGACCAAGATGGGGTGCATCACAGGCCCTTTCTAAGGCCCTCATTCTAACAGTAGAGAAATCACAAGTCACTTCCCGCCTCAGTCTGTGACATTTGCCCAGTGTTTCCCAGAGGATGTTTTCAGGATACTAATGCCTTAAAATAGTCCATGTAAGCATAAATAGATAAACTTATAATAGTTACTATACTCAATAGATTTCTTTATCAGGGGACTTTTCAGAACCTTTAGTATGTCATCTGTACTAAAACTCCTCCCCAGAGGATGACACAGAATACTTCTACCATATGCCTCTGTGACTACTTCCTCTTATCAAGAGGGAGAGACTCTGGAATAGAAAGCTCCAAATATTTTTATTAATCAAGAGAATAGTCATTGCCCATGATCCACAATCAGTGTCCAGTATATCTGAGTTTTATTTTGGACATTTCACAGAACTTAGAATTCAGTGTGATTTTGAAGATATTCAGGAAGCTCATTAACTCATTGGAAAGCTGATTTCACTTTTGTATGGCTCTGATGTTATAGTTAAAAACTCTGAAACTTATTAGGGTAAACAGGCCCAGTTTTAATTCCCCTAGGTGTCTTAAGTCTCTGTACCCCCACACCATCTAGGTGATTGACCTCTAAATACCTTTTGGTAGGTGTCATTGTTAAAATGAGTGTGTGTGTGTCTTTATGGTATGAAAACCATGTCATCACAGTGCCACCACGAGACAGGGCTCAGTCTTACTTTTTTCCCTATGTTTGTAACTCCCTTCTGTGATGGTGAGAAAGCTAGTTTTCCCTATCCTTAATATTTTTACTTCATTGCTGGGGATGGTGGCTCACACCTGTAATCTTAGCACTCTGGGAGGCTGAGGCAGTTGATTGCTTGAGCTCAGGAGTTGGACACCAGCCTCAGCAAGAGTGAGATTCCATTTCTACTAAAAATAGAAAAACCTAGCCAGGCATAGCGGTGGGCACCTGTAGTCCCAGCTACTTGGGAGACTGAGCCCAAGAGACTAAGGTTGCTGTGAGTTATGATGATGCCACAGCTACCCAGAGCCACAGAATAAGATACTGCCAAAAGAAAGAAAGAAAGAAACAACACTCCATCAGTGCCCCTGTGTATAACCAGTCTCCTGTTTTTGCCATCATCACCCCTCTGCTTGGTTCTCCTTCTCCATTCCATGCTACCCTCCTGTGTGGACACTTAGCTTATCCCACTTGGGTGCCAACACCCGACACCAGGTGATTCTAATACATAGCCAAATTCGAGAACCACTTAGAGTTCTCAGGTTGAATTGTACTTCAGTCTCTTTTATCAACCATCTCCCACCTTGTTGCTCACTCTTACTGGTTGCTAGGTACTGACAAGCTGCCAAGCATTTCATAAGGAACAACACCCACAATGCTTTCTTCTCACTGCTGGAAAGCATTTAATCCTCTGGGAGATAATTGTTAGAGTCCAGAATGTACTACTTATCTCCCAGGTTGATGATGCTGCTTTCACAACCATACCCTATTTTTGTCTGCTGAGGGCAGTGTTGGTGTCATTAAGACACCAAGAAATGATGAGGTTTCATTGGGGTTCCGTAACTTATCATTTCCTGCTATGCTGTTTGTCCTGTTGTAAGCTTTTACTTCTAAAGCCAATGGAAGGGCCAGGCACAGTGGCATATGCCTATTATCCCAGCGCTCTGCGAAGCTGAGGTGGGCGGTTGCTTGAGCTCACAAGGTTGAGACAAGCCTGAGCTACAGCGAGACCCCGTCTCTAAAAATAGCTGGGCATTGTGGCAGGCACCTATGGTCCCAGCTACTTGGGAAGCTGAGGCAAGAGAATCGCTTGAACCCAAAAGGTAGAATTTCCTGTGAGCTACGACGCCATGGCACTCTACCAGGTGCGACAGAGTGGGACTCTGCCTCAAAAAAAAAAAAAAAAAAATACAGTTGGTGGGACTGCAAACTGGTACACCCTCTCTGGAAAGTTGTATGGGGACACCTCTGAGAACTAAAAGGAGATCTACCATTTGATCTAGCAATCCCACTACTGGGTATTTGCCCAAAGGGGAAAAAAATCATTCTGTAAAGCCAATGTGAATGTCCTTTGAACCTCACTAGGTTTTTTGTTTGTTTGTTTTCTTTCTTTTTTTTTGAGACAGAGTCTCACTATGTCACCCTCTGTAGGGTGCGATGGCATCACAGCTCACTGCAACCTCAAACTCTTGGGCTTAAGTGATTCTCTTGCCTCAGCCTCCCAAGTAGCTGGGACTATAGGCGCCTGCTACAACACCTGGCTATGAACCTCACTAGGTTTTGAAAGTGCTTCTACAAATCACCTATTCCAGCACAGCTGTAGTCCCAACTACTTGGAAGGCTGAGGCAGGAACATCATTAGAGACTAGGAGTTCAAGGCTGTAGTGAACTGTGATCATGCCCCGTGAATAGCTACTACACCCCAGCCTGGATGACATAGTGAGATGCGATCTCCAAGAAAAGAAATAAAAAGAGGCTCAGTGCCCATAGCTCAGTGGTTAGGGCTCCAGCCACATACACCGGGGCTGGCAGGTTCGAACCTGGCCCAGGCCAGCTAAACAATGACAAACTACAACAAAAAAACAGCCAGGCGCTGTGGCGGGCGACTATAGTCCCAGCAACTTGGGAGGCTAAGGCAAGAGCATCGCTTAAGCCTAAGAGTTTGAGGTTGCTGTGAGCTGTGACACTATGGCACTCTACCGAGGGTAACATAATAAAACTCTCTCTCAAAAAAAAAATTTTTCAAGAAAAAAATAAAAAGAATCCTCTATTCCAGTTCCTCTGCAAAACATAACCCCTGCATGCACTCGTCTGTGTACATTCTACATGTGTTATTGTCTGTCTTTAAAAGGGTGAAGGAAGAAGTGTTTTGGAGGAACTACTTTTACCGTGTCTCCCTGATTAAGCAGTCGGCCCAGCTCACTGCCCTGGCCGCCCAGCAGCAGGCCGCAGAGAAGGAGGAGAAGAACAGCAGCAGGCAGGAGGATTCGCAGCTGGCAGGTACCTTCCAGGGAGAGGGTAGCACTTCACAAAAGAAGTAGTGTTTTTTTTTCTTTTTTTTTAAATAAGTCAACAGCAGCCAGGCCCAAAGACTCACAACTATAATCCTAGCACTCTGGGGGGCTGTGGCGGGTAGATTGCTTGAGCTCAGGAATTGGAGACCAGCTTGAGCAAAAGTGAGGCCCTATTTCCACAAAAAAAAAATATACAAAAACTGGGCCAGGTGCTTTGGCTCATGCCTGTAATCCCAGCACTTGGGGAGGCCAAGGCGAATGGATTGCCTAAGCTCACAGATTCAAGACCAGCCTGAGTTAGGGCTAGACCTCCTCTCTAAAAATAGCTGGGCTTGGGCGGCGCCTGTAGCTCAAGGGAATAGGGCGCCGGCCCCATATGCCGGAGGCGATGGGTTCAAACCTAGCCCTACCAAAAAACTAAAAAAAAAAAAAAAAAAAAAAAAAAGCTGGGCTATAGCTATGCTAGAATATATGATTTGTAGAAGCACTTTCTTCTCTAAAAATAGCTGGGTTGGGCAGTGCCTGTGGCTCAAAGGCGTAGGGCACTGGTCCCATATGCCGGAGGTGGCGGGTTCAAACCCAGCCCCGGCCAAAAACTGCAAAAAAAAAAAATAATAATAATAAAATAAAAATAGCTGGGTTAAAAAAATAATAATAATAAAAATAAAAATATCTGGGTTATGGCAGGTGCCTGTAGTCTTAGCTACTTGAGAGGCTGAGGCAAGAGAATCACTTAAGCCCAGGAATTTGAGTTTGCTGTGAGCTATGATAATACCATGGCACTCTACCAAGGGTGACCAAGTGAGACTCTGTCTCAAAAAAAAAAAAACCTGAGGCAAGAGGATCTCTTGACTTGGCACCAGTAGCACAGTGGTTATGGTGCTGGCCACATACACCGAGGCTGGCGGGTTTGAACCTGGCCTGGGCTAGTGAAACGACGACAGCTACAACAAAAAAATAATTGGGTGTTATAAGCTTTGTGGCAGGTACCTATAGTCCCAGCTACTTGAGAGACTGAGGCAAGAGAATTGCTTAAGCCCAAGAGTTACAGGTTGCTGTGAGCTGTAATGCCATGCACTCTACTGAGGGTGACATAGTAAGACTCTTGTCTCAAAAAAAAAATAAATAAATAAATTGAAGAGGATATCTTGAGCCTGAGAGGTTTTCGTTTTGTTTGTTTCTTTGAGACAGTCTCATTGTGTTGTGCTTGGTAGAGTGCTGTACTATCATAGCTCATAGCAACCTCAAATTCCTGAGCTTAAGCGATTCTCTTACCTCAGCCTCCCAGGTAGCTGGAACTACAGGCACCCACCACAATACCTGGCTTTTTTTTGTTGTAGTTATCATTGTTGTTTTTAGCAGACTCGGGCCCGGGTTCGAAACCCAGTATATGTGGCTAGCGCTCTAACCCCTGGGCTACAGGCGCCGAGCCTGAGAGTTTGAGGTTGCTGTGAGCTATGATGATGCCATGGTATTCTACCCAGGGTGACAGAGTGAGACTCTGTGTTAAAAAAAATAAATTAGGCTTGGCGCCTGTTACTCAGTGGCTAGGGTACCAGCTACATGCACCAGGGCTGGTGGGTTCAAACCCGGCCTGGGCCTGCCAAATAACAATGACAACTACAACCAAAATATAACCAGGCATTGTGGCAGGTGCCTGTCGTCCCAGCTACTTGGAGGCTGAGGCAAGAGAAT